TTGGCGACAATGCAGCAAATTGTACTTGAAGGCATTATAAAGAAATATTCAACCAAAATAAACTCTTCACGAACCTTCTATCAAACTCAGCTCAACTATTGACCCAAAAATTGAAAATCAGTGCCCAGTGCTTATCATCATTGCATCAAAAAGCACATTTGTCATCTTTTTCATAAAAATAATATCAAAAAAATCATTAGAAGAACCTTCAAAATTCTCTTCAGCAATTTTCGTTATATCAAAACATGTACACTTGATAGCATTATAATGACAAGAAATGAACAAACGAAAAAAAAACTTAACAAACCTTCAATCAAACAAAGCTCAAATATTCCAAAACACTGAAAATAGCTCCCACTGCTTACCATCAATGCATCACAGCACATTTGTCAAATATCTCATCAGCTTAGAAGACTCAACTTTAAAAAGCACTGAAATTAGCAAAAAATGAATATCAGAGCCCAGTGCTTATCAAAAAGCACAGTTGTCATCACTTTAATTGAACAAAGACTAACATCAAACAAAATGTTGGGCAAAATTTCAGAATGATTTCTAGTGCAGCAAACTACTTGAAAGCTTCATAAAGAAAGATTCAACAAACAGAGAAACTCTTTACAAACCTTCAATCAAATCTCAGCTCAAATATTCCAAAACACTATGAAAATAGCTCCCACTGCTTACCATCAAGGCATCACAGCACATTTGTCAAAAATCTTATCAGCTTAGAAGAACCTCAACTTTAAAAAGCATTGAAATTAGAAAAAAAAATGAATATCAGAGCCCAGTGCTTATCATCATTGCATCAAAAAGCACATTTGTCATCATTTTTAATTCAACTAAAATTAAAATCGAGAAAAATCTTAAGAAAATTCACACAATCCCTTCCAGCGGTTGGCGACAATGCAGCAAATTGTACTTGAAGGCATTACAAAGAAAGATTCAACAAAAATAAACTCTTCACAAACCTTCTATCAAATTCAGCTCAAATATTCCAAAACACTATGAAAATAGCTCCCACTGCTTACCATCAATGCATCACAGCACATTTGTCAAATATCTCATCAGCTTAGAAGAACCTCAACTTTAAAAAGCCCTGAAAATAGAAAAAAAATGAATATCAGCGCCCAGTGCTTATCATCATTGCATCAAAAAGCACATTTGTCATCATTTTTAATTCAACTAAAATTCACATCGAGAAAAATCTTACGAAAACTTTCAAAACCCTTCCGGTGGTTGGGGACAATGCAACAAATTGTACACTTAGAAGCATTATAAAGTAGACTCAACAAACAAAAAGTATTTACAATTCTTCTATCAACCTGAGCTCAAATAGTGACCAAAAAACTGAAAATCGGAGCCCAGTGTTTATCATCATTGCCTCAAAAAGCACATTTGTCATCACTTTCATTTAAAAAAAATTATCAAAAAAAGGTTTAGAACTTTTAGAATCCTCTTAAGGAAATGTCGTCATGGCGAAATATGTACATTTAACGGCATTATAATGAGAAGGAAAGAACAAACGAAAAAAAACTTAACAAACCTTCCATCAAACAAAGCTCAAACATTCCAAAACACTGTGAAAATAGATCCCACTGCTTACCACCATTGCATCGCAGCACATTTATTAAAATTCTCAGCAGCCTGAAAAAGCCTACACATTAATAAGCACTGAAATGCAAAAAAAATGAAAATTGGAGCCCGGTGCTTATCATCATTGCATCAAAAAGCAAATTTGTCATCACTTTAATTAAACAAAGGCTAACAGCAAAAAAACTGTTGAGAAAAACTTCAGAAGTCTTTCTAGTAATTGGCGAAAATGCAGCAAATTTTACTTGAAGGCATTACAAAGAAAGATTCAACAAACAAAAATAAACTCTTCACAAACCTTCTATCAAACTCAGCTCAAATATTCCAAAACACTATGAAAATAGCTCCCACTGGTTACCACAATTGCATCACAGCTCATTTATCAAAACTCTCAGCAGCTCCAAAAACCTACAAATTAACAAGCACTGAAATGCAAAACAAATTGAAAATCGGAGCCCAGTGCTTATCATCATTGCATCAAAAAGCACATTTGTCATCACTTTAATTGAACGAAGACTAACATCAAAAAAACTGTTGAGAAAAACTTCAGAAGTCTTTCTAGTGGTTGGTTAAAATGCAGCAAATTGTACTTGAAGGCATTATAAAGAAAGATTCAACAAACAAAAAATAAACTTTTCACAAAACTTCTATCAAACTCAGCTCAAATATTCCGAAATATTATGAAAATAGCTCCCACTGCTTACCATCATTGCATCACAGCACATTTGTCAAAAATCTCATCAGCTTAGAAGAACCTCAACTTTAAAAAGCACTGAAATGCAAAAAAAAAAATTGAAAAACGGAGCCCAGTACTTATCATCATTGCATCAAAAAGCATATTTGTCATCACTTTCATTTAAAAAACTAATACCAAAAAAATGTTTAGAAGAACCATCAGAACCCTCTTCAGCAATTGTCTTCATGGCAAAATATGTACACTTGACGGCATTATAATGACAAGGAATAAACAAACGTAAAAAACTTAACAAGCCTTCAATCAAACAAAGCTCAAACATTCCAAAACACTATCAAACTAGACGCCACTGCTTACCAACATTGCACCACAGCACATTTGTCAAAAATCTCATCAGCTTAGGAGAACCTCAACTTTAACAACCACTGAAATTTAAAAAAAATTAAAATCAGAGCCCAGTGCTTATCATCATTGCATCGAAAAGCACATTTGTCATCATTTTTAATTTACCAAAAAAATTCACATCGAGAAAAATCTTATGAAAACTTTCAAAACCCCTACCGGTGGTTGGCGACAATGCAGCAAATTGTACTTGAAAGCATTATAAAGAAAGATTCAACAAGCAAAAAACTCTTCACAAACCTTCTATCAAACTCAGTCCAAATATTCCGAAACATTAAGAAAACAGATCCCAGTGCTTCTCATCATTGCATCACAGCTCATGATTCAAAAATCTCATCAGCTTAGATGTATCTTATCTTATACAAGCACTAAAACTCACAAAAAAATTGAACATCAGAGCCCAGTGCTTATTATGATTGCATCAAAAAGCACATCTTTCATTACTTCATTGAACAAAGATTGACAACAAAAAATTCTTAAGAAAAATTTCAGAAGCCTTTCCAGCGATTGGCGACAATGCAGCAAACGTACGCTCAAAGATAGATTTCACACAGGAAAAAAACTCTTTCAACCCCTTCTATAAAACTAAGCTCAAAAATTGACCAGAACAATGAAAATCAGAACCCAGTGCTTATCGTCATTGCAGCAGAAAGCACATTTGTCATCAGTTTCATTGAAAAAAAAAATTAACATGGAAAACACTCTTATGAGAATGTTCAAAATCCTTTCCAATGATTGTCGTCATTGCAATCAAGTGTACACTTGAAAGCATTATGAAAACGGAATTAACAAAGGAAAAAACTCATTACAAACTTCCACCAAAGTAAGCTCAAGTTTTCACGAAAAAAATATAAAATTAGATCCCAGTGCTCACCATTATACATCAAGCCACAATTTTCAATATTCGATTCAACTTAATAAAAACTCCCCTGTAACAAGCACTGAAACTCACAAAAAAAACATTGAAAATCAGATAATCATTGCATAAAAAAAAACATTTCTCAGCACTTTCATTGCAAAAAAGAACAACGAAAGCATTTTTACGAGAGTTTTTGGTATCGTTTTCAGTCATTGTCGTCCTCGCAACAAAACGTACGCTTGACAGCACTTAAAGACAAAAAATCAACACACAAAAAGACTCCTTATGAACCTTCAATCAAACAAAGCTCAATAATTCAAGAACAATAAGAAACTATATCGCAAAGCTTTTCATCATCGCAAAAAGAACACTTGTCAACAGTCGAATCAACTTAGCGAAACCTCCACTACAACAACACTGAAATTCTAAAAAACAAAAAGCAGAGCCCGGTGCTTATAATGATTGCATCAAAAAGAACATTTGTCATCTCTTTCAATGAAAAAAATAACAACGAAAAAATTCTTAAGCTAACTTTTCAGAATCGTTTCCCGTGATTGCCCTCATTGCAGCAGAATGTACACATGACGCCATTATTACGACAAAAAGTGAACACAAGAAAAAAACTGTTTACAAACCTTCTATCAAATTAAACACTACAAACCTTCTATCAAACTAAACACAAATACTGACGAAAAAAATTAGAATCAGATCTCAGTACTAAACGGTCTGACCAAATTGATAAAGGAAAACATTCAAAAAAATGGAAAAATTTCAAAAGCAAGAAACAAAAACATGTTTCGAAACTAGAAACAGATTGCACTTTTGTGAACTCTGCTCTTTTTGCTGTTCAATAGTGGAGGTTGCTTGCATTCCTTGTCACAAAGGAAAAGAGCTGAACTCAAAAGAAATCATAAGTCAAACCGCAAAACTAAAAATTGAGCGTGAACAAATTTTGGACTTCCTAAAAAACTCCCCGAGACCTAAAAGAGCCTTCATTACTCGTAAGAATAAAAAAAACTCCAAAGAATTTAAGCATTGATGGGCTGAAAGTAAAAAGCGCGAAAAGCAAATTTGAACGTGAACAAACTCGCACTTTTCCTGAAAAAAAAAACGGGGCAAAAATCATCACGACCTAGATAAGAGACTGAACTAGGTTCATCGACTCTTATAAAAAAAATCCTTTCCACTCTTTTAGAGTTGTCTCTGAACAAAATGTGAAAATATATCAACCTCAACTACACTTAAAATCATGTTTTCAGACAATTACTTCAACTGTCTTGGGCCGTTTACTATAAATCAGCACTGTGAATCAAGATGATGATTCGATGTGATACTTTTAGTTTATAGTCAGCCGCTGTTCTGTCCTTTGACCTCATTTCCTCCGAAATACTTGCTGCAAGCTCGATATCTTTTCTCGCTATGTTTTCTTCAATAAATTTCTCGTTTGCTGAAAACAGATTTTTTGACAAATCATGATTTATTGTGACAAAGAAGAGCTGAAGGGTTGCTCAAATTTATGGTACCGGGACAAAATTTACACAGAACTATCAACAATCAATGCATACTGCAAAATATCAGGATATTATATAACTTCTTTGAAAAAACTAATAAATCTTTTTTAATAAGATCATTACCGCGTTAGTCAATGCAAAATTGTACTAAATGAGACATACTAAATCACAATGGTGTTGTCAACTTATTAATGACTCTGACATGTCATTGGAATCTCATAGTCATTGAGGGGTCAAGGTCGTATCCAGACTGAGCATTCGACATTTATTTATTTTAATATTTCCTGCTATCATGAGTTTGTCTTAGTCGCTTCTCAAGTTTTACTGATAGGATGAGCACTTCATTTTCCAAAAATTTTTCAACTGCGCTCTGAAAAAAGAGTTGAAATATAAGTATACAAAGTAGTTCACTATGAAATTACATTCGAACAGCAGCAGAGATGTTTCAAAAGCCATCATGCTGGGTGCGTTTGACCTGTCCAGAAGAAACCTCAGGTGTAAAATTTTGTACGGCAACACCAGTATTATGAAAAGCGCCGAAATCACGAACAGCGAAATCGTCACATTCGTCGTCCTTCGTGAAATCCGACTCGACATTGGCCCGTTCTGTAGCGCTTGCGACGACTGTGCTACGTTCGTACAATGTCCGTTGTCACTTGTGCTACTGCGACAAATTTTCAGGGCCGACTTGATCGGAGATTGCTTTGAAGTAGTCTCGCGGGTTTCATTGGGAGCTCGTAAATGGTCTTGTACATTCTCCAACTCCTCGATCGCGTTTGCACTCCCCAATGGCAGCAAATTGTAGTTGTTAGTCGCAAAACTGACACGATGCTGGTTACTCTAAAATAAAAAAGTTCATCAATACCACAAACCTCTTTCAACTTTTACGTAATGATTTGTCTGATCAAAAAAGAGAAAATTTGAGTAAGTAAATCTTTAGTTGATATTGTTGATATTTGACCACAACATAATCAACGGAAGTGAAGATATAAATAGATCAGAAAACTAATGAAAAGTGAGACTAAATAGCAAAAAATAACAGCTTCGCATTAAAAAGGAAATGCAAGCTCATTGAAGATTCATTTTTCATCCTTAACACTGCTCAGCCAAAAATTATTTGATTTTATACGTAATGCATTTTTTGCATCAGTGACACTTTTTCTGTGTTGAATTGCATTGAACTAGTGGGCTGCACTTTAAAAAAATCAATCAACTGTATAGCAGCTTTATGCAGATGCAAATACAATTTAATACCGTTAAAAACAACTTCAGACCATCTGAGTCTAGATATAATACTTTTAAGCACCTCATTTCTCGTTCAAACTTTATCTCAAATATTTCAAGTACCTTTTGCAAATATTTTGTTTTTCTGCCGTCACTATAGATAGTATTTCTTCCTCTTGAACACGACTAAACTAAAAACGGCAACTGCATCAGGGCGGATCAAGGGTTTTATCAAGGAGGGGGTGGGGTGAAAATTAGCAAACTATCTGGTGTCTTTAGAAACAATTTAAGGTTGATCAACCAAAAATGGATGCCATAAAACATTATTGAGGGGAGGGGGGGGGGGGGGTTTCCATCCCTAACCCCCCCCCCTTACCTACAACCACCCATGATTACAAATTGCCAACCATAATCCAATCGGTTCAGAGGTTGACGATCCGAAGACCAACATGGTCCGTTCACACATTAATAAAAAACGGTAGATTTTGACTGTTTTGCAGCAAAAAGATTATCTGCCGATGATGCAAATATTAACCAAAAAATTGATTATATGCTCCCACTTTTCTTCGTGAGTAAATTAAAAATATTTATTAGCAATAGAAACATTGGCAGCAGCTCTGGCTCTAAACACCGGTCGCAGGTAGCTTTTATACAATTCCCCAAAATGCGCCTCAAAAAAATACGATTTTTTGGTAAACGCCTTAAAACGCCATAAATGAATCTTGACACTTTTCTTAAATCAACTGCTGAGCTGAAATTATGAGCTTCTGAGGGATAAAACCTTTCCACGAACCATTTTTACTCCTTATCGGTAAAAGGTTGAACTTAACGGTATATACGGACCTTTTTTGACTGCTTTGTCGTTTTTTTTGCCAGTAAGATAATTTTTGCCAGTAAGGTTGAAGCCAGACAAGCAACCATTCATTTCGATTTCAGTTAACCGCGTTAATAACCAGGGAAAAAATTGCATCAGGAGCGGTATATAAAATATGCTAACCGCAATTTTCCAGTTATTTTCACTTCCAAGCTTCCTCCTTAATTCACCACAAGCCACGCCCTTCTTTTTACTTTCATCAAATTTGAATTCAAATAGCAATTCCAGTTTTATAATTACTGTCTGATTTCCTTTCGATATTCTTCCATTCGACGAAGATCAAATATTCGACTTAAGGCGTTTCTTTAGGTACGAGTTTACTTCATTAGAAGTCCAGTTAGCATAAAAGCGCTTGGAAAATATCAAAAACAGCACAACCGTTCTTCAATACTAACGGATAAAATTCAATCCGATTTATACATTTTATCATTACATTAATCAGCTCAATAGTAAATAAACGCCTGCAGCCCTTGTAAACAATCGCAGCATTCAGTGTTGCCAATAAAATGCACTTGAAGAAAGTATCTGTGATAAATAATCCCACTATGTCCTAAATCCCTAGGTTAGGGGTTATTATTCAGCTCCGTCCTAAATCCCTTACTTCCTATGCAGTTAATTCAATTTTCACAATTCGCTCATTGACCAAATAAAAACCTCAAATCATATTAATATCGCTTAGTGAAGTCTCAACCTAGCAGTAATTCAGTGTGAGATTTTGACAAAAATTCGCTCCAGGAAATCAAATTATATGGAGTACGGCTATTCTTTAAAACGTCATCTCAAAAACTCTATACTGCTGCAAACACTTTTAATATTCTATTAATTTTATAAAACTTTTTGTCTATTTCTGCGGCCGGCCGATTTTGAAAACGCTTAATTATAACCTATTTCTGAAGGCAATCATTGATGCCTGTTTGAAAACAAATAAGCAATGCTGAAAATCGAAAAAAGCGCAACCGACAGACAATTGGTATTTCTAATAGATTTTTCTCAGCTTTTAGTATTATAACATAGCCAATCGAAGATTGGAAAAGAGTAATGAACGCAAGTAAGCATAATAAAAAAAACTTTTTTTGGAAAAATCCCAACTTTTGAATTTCTAAGAAAAAAAATAGATGGCTTTTAAGCTCTTTGAATTTCTAGAACGATTTAAGACTGGCGCTTTTTTGATAATATTAACCCAACTTGAGAAAATTGGATCAACAGGAGTTTTTATTCCGCTGGAAATCTAAAAATTAAATTCCACTTTCGAAACTAGAAATAGCATTATACCTAAGTGCATCAATATTTTTGGACTTTTTCCTGAAAAAAAAACAAAAAAATCAGCAAGACCTGTATATGAACATTCACTACGTTCATTACTCTTAATATGAATTGATTATCCGGAGAAGTAAAATAGATGAACTAGTTAAAATAACTTCCTTAGTGCTGCAAACTTAACACAACTCTTTTCCTTCCAATGTGAAAAATTACCACCTTTTTGGTATGGTCACGTTTTTTCGGCAGTTTTTGAAAAAATTAGATTTCAATTTAAAAAAATTGACTTAAATCAAAAAAATCCGAGTCATTTGATTTTTTAATTTAAATCGGAATTTTATGCAACCCTGGAACTTATAGCCCAAATCAAAACATTTGTCTTCAACCTGGTTAATAAACCACTGGTATTTTTATACCAGAAAGTTGATGTTCATGTAAAATAGGGGAAAATGAAAAGAGACCTCAAGTTGACCATCAAACTAATTATTTCCCCAAAAGGCGAGATATGATTGAATTCGGAAGCCACAGATCAGGTGCCAAAAAGTCATCAGACACAAGTGGCATGAAATCAATCAGGTTCACGCATTTCTAATCGGAGTACAAGACTCACGTGGTCGACTGACAGGTTCAATTACCCAACTTGAATAGACTATTCACTTCATCTTTCCATTATCATTAGGCTCAAAAATGAAACTGCTGTCTGTCCATGAGATAACGCTTTCTCCCCTTCCCTTACCTCTCGGTCGAAAAGCTACCTTCACCAAAAATCAAGTTAATTTAGCCGTGAACTTATCATTATTGACAGCATGAATAAAAGGCTAAATTAGAAATGGCGAGGATTGCTACAGACGGAAAAGAAACGTCGATCAAACCTTTTCAATATTTGAGCTGAAAACCGTCACGAAGAAAAAAGAATGGGAAAATGGATTATACATGTAATTAAACCCGTGTAGCCTTCAAAACCAATCGAGCGATATTGAAAAGTTTACTGAGGCTGAGAAAAATTATTGTCTTTTTTTTTGCTTGAAGGCAACCAAATTTCAGACAATAGCCTACCTAACGCAGTAAAAACTATAAAATCATTTCATAACTGATTTTTTTTGCGTTTCAATCGACAGAAAAATATTTACCTCGTCAACGCAGTTAAAACACTTGGATATTCATCAGGAAATAAAAATATCGAAAAAAATCAAGCCAACATATGATGAAAATCATAAAATTGCCAACTGACAGTTGGGAAAAAGTAATGAACGCAAGGAAACACGAAACTTTTTCTTTGATAAAATTATTTGATTAAATATTTTTTGATAAAATTAGCCCAACTTGAGTTAAACTCTTAAGTCCGCTGGGAAATCTGAACATTCAATTCAACTTTCGAAAAAAGAATTCTTTCACGTTTTTCGTGATATTTACACTTTCGCTGTTCGATAGTGGAGTTTGCCTGCTTTATAACTAAGGAAATGAAGTGAACTTGAAAAGAAATCAATAGTCAAACTGTGAAAAATCAAAATTGAGCGTGAACAAATTAAGACTTTTGTGGAAAAAAAATCAGCAAGACCTATAATAAGAGTCTTCACCACGTTCATTATTCTTAAAAATGAAACAAACTTCAGACAATTCAAGCAATGATGGGCTGAAAGAAGAAAAAAGATTCTGATTGGATTTTTTTTTCATACTGATTGATCTTTTAAACCCCAGGCTACTTCATAGCGATGCTGTGAATATCTGATCAAACACAGCTTCTTGACTTTGGAGGCCATTAAGAAAACTATCTTTCACTCTTCAGATAGAAGTAAGAGGACATACTTCAGCTCATGCAGATAAAGTCAACAAACAAAGAACTCAATTCGTCTTTCTGAATTGCCATTAGGAGTTCATTCAGAAAGAGTCAAAGAAAAATAGCCATTTACTTTCATTTAGCAAGGAAACTTATCCTCCTACAGGAACAAATATATGGGCTTCTGGAGACTTTTAAATGGAAAAAGTATAATAAAACGCAGCTGTTCCAAGTTGCTGATGGTATATTAGTGTAGGCATGGTTTATGGGATGGTTCCGGATTCAGGGGAGAAAGGAATGCGGACACCCCCTTCCAATCCCCTTTGTACTATTTTGTTTTTGATGTATCTATTCATGGCTAAATGACCCTAAACTTTTTCTAAAGGCGCCTTTGGAAAACTTGACGCCAATATCAGCTAATCTTGAAGGGGAGCGCGCGTCGATTTTTGATCAAAATGTTCCAAGAAGTGCCCTTAAACGCCCCTTTTTAGCTTGTTTTTTTTTTCAAAAATTTGCCTACGGCGCAGAAAATTTGGTCAAAATAGGGTCTTCATAATGATCTGGAAGATCTCAGAAAAACAATTTAGTCGACCTGCAAAAAAAAGTCGACAAACTTTTCGAATTTTTTTTTGAAATTCTGTTCCCTCGAGAAAATCCTAGACCCCCTCCTGGATGGATGTATCAGTCAGTGTTGCCGAAAATCAAAAAGAACAAAATAAAAATGCAAAGAATGATGCAAGATAGCATGAATAAATGTTCTAGGCACCATCAAACCAATCAGATGTTCGCATTTTCAGTAAGAACTTCGGAAACAACTTTGGAAAGATTTAAATCGTAGCCCAAAACGCTCCCTCTTTATCGAAAAAGTCTACTGGCTACTTATAAATTTAGATTTTCCACATCTCGAAGAAATCCTTTTGTTAACATAATAAAACTTGACCTTTTTCAGTGGAAAATTAGAATATCCTTTTTCATTTTGCATTGGCGCTTTAGGCGGATGTAGTCGATTTCGCTCACTCCCGTTCTTTGCCTCTGTAATTGCCTCATTGACGGAGCTTCGCACCACTTGCTATAAAAAATATATACAAGTGGACATTTTTTTCAAAAATTTTAAATTATTTCACATCGAGCCATTCTGGAACACTATTATGACTCAACCAGCTAATTTGGCAAATTTGAACCAGATGAAATTATCATTTCTGAAAATCGGTTTTTGCTTCAAATTAATGCAAACAGAAAATATCGGTATTTCAAACTTTGAAGTCGATTGATTGCTTTTTGTGAAACATAGCCAGCAGACAGTTGAAAAAGAGTCATGAACGCAAGGAAACAAAAGACTGACTACTTTTTAAAAAAACTTTCGAATTTCAAAGAAAAAAAATATGACCCTGAGGCTCTTTGAATTTCAAGAACAACTAGCAAGCCTTCCTCCAATAATCAATTGGCTCGCAAAAAATTAGTTGCTGTTCTGATCAAGCTATCCAAAAAAGTTAAAGCAAGCTAATCAAGATAATAAAACGTGAATTCTTTCGCAAAAAGATTTTCTGGTGTTATTCAACCTATGAAACTTTGACATCAATAAAGATTTTCAATGAAACAAATCGGTTCACAAAAATTTTGTTTAAGCAAGCTATTCGAAAATTTGAAGCTCTTCGAAACTTCGAAAACTACGAGACTTAGAAAATTCCTTCATGAGTAAATTCATAGACTGACTCAGTTTGCGAAAAATTTAAGCTCGTCTAGGCAAGCTAATAGAATTAGGCAACTTTGAAATATTTCAAGTCATTTCATAAACCGAATCAGTACGCAAAAATATAAAAGTTTTCTCAGCAAGCTAACCAAGATAAAAAAACATGAATTCTTTCGAGTTATTTCGTAGAACGAATCTTTCGCAAAAAGTTTAAGTTTTTCTAAGCAGACTTTTAAAGCTATGACATTTTGTTCTATTACAAATTATTTCATAGACTGAATCGTTTCGCAAAAAAATGGGAGTTTTTCTAAGCAAGCTTTTAAGGCTATAAATTTTGAAATAATTCAAGTTATTTTATAAACCAAATCAATTTGTGAAAAAAAAAAGTTTTCTATGCAAGCTATTCTAGATATGAAACTTTGAAATTTCTAAGTTAATTCGTTGACCAAATCGGTTCGCATAAAAGTTGAAGTTTTTCTAAGCAATCTTTTAAAGCTATGAAACTTTTAAAGCTATGAATTATTTCATGCTATTTCATAGACTGAATCGTTCGCGAAAAAGTTGAGTTATTCTAAGCAACCTTTTCATCAAGCTATGAAATTTTCAATAAACTGAATTGGTTCGCAAAAATTTTCAGTTTTTCTCAGCAAGCTCTTCAAGCTATGGAACTTTGAAACATTTCCAGTTATTTCATAGACCGAACCAGTTTGCAAAATGATTTTTTTTCTTAACATAGAGGTTGCTGTTTTTAAGTGATTCGTTTCAGACTGAAATGAATCTGTAAACGCAAAATTTTGGACAAAAAGTGGGCAGGTACTGTCTAGCCCTAAAGTTGAATCGAGTTCATCTCGCTCTGATTGTTGCTCTGAGTGATTCTTTAATTACTGATCTAAGCCGTTTCAAACGTTGCGCTCGATAACCGCTTAAACATTAGGCCTGATGCTGAAAATGTGTTATTCATTTAATACAAGCTAATAGAGCTATGCAACTTTGAAAACTTCAAGATATTTCATAAACCGAGTCAGTACGCAAAAAGCTCTAAGTTTTCTAAAGAAGCTAAAATAAAATTAATTCTGTCAATTCGTTTCGTAGATCGAATCTGTTTGCAAAAAGCTTTAAAAAGCTTTAGAATAAAAAAAGTTATTCTAAGTAAGGCTTAAAGCTATGAAACATTGAAATATTTCGAGTTATTTCATAGATCGAATCAGTTCGCGAAAAGCTTTAAAATTTCGAAGGAAGCTATATAAGCTATGAAACTTTGGGAAATTGCAAAAAATTTAGTAGACTAAATCGGTCGCAAATAACCTAAAGTTTTTCTCAGCAAGCTTTGAAATCTATGCAACTTTAAAATATGTCAAGTTATTTCATAAATCGAATCAGTTCGCGAAATTTTTTATCGAACTAAGCAAATCAAGCTATGAAACTTTGAAATATTTAGGTTACTTCATGGATTGAATCGGTTCGCGAAAAGTTTAAAGTTTTCAAAGCATGGAGGTTACTGTTTTTAAGTGATTCGCTCCAGACTTAACTTTTGACAGTTCCAGTTCCAGACAAAAATGAAAAAAATTTTAGACAAAAATTAGGCAGGTACTGTCTAGCCTTGAAGTTGGATTGAGTTCATCTTCTGATGATTGCTCTGAATGCTTCTTAAACGTTACGCTCGATAGCCTTTTAAACATTGTCTCCTACTAATTCTTAAGCATTGTGTTGAGTTAAACATTGCGTCCATAGCGCATTCGGAGTTACATTTAATATATTGGAATAATGATTAAAACTGGATCAATTACAAATTTGCAAATTGAAATCCAACTTCGAAATTAGAAGTCGATCACGTTTTTCGTGACTTTACACTTTTGCTGTTCGATAGTGGAGTTTGCAAAGAAATCAAGAGCCAAATACTTCGCTTCAGTTGAGATATAACAAGTATAGGATTAAAGCAACAATAGACTCTAAAACTATATAAGGGGACTTTGAACGTTGCTACTGTTAAAGAAAGAACTAGAAAAATGAAAAAGATTTTAAAAAAATCTAAGTTTTCTTTGTTTAAGTTATTTAAAAAATTTTAAAGTTCCTTAATTTTGGGGGTCAAAGTCTTATCGATCTCATAAATAATATCGGAAACAAAATACTAGGTAAAAAAGACGACATAAAAAAAGCCGGCAGCTTCTCAGCTGAAATTCAATCGAAGTTGGTCGGCAAAATCTTCTCGGAAAAAACTCATTAAAACATGTCCAAATAGTATTGATTGACAACCATAAAGCAGAATAACCATCAGCAAAAAAGTAACACCGATAATTTATAACTATACATTCAACAAAATCTATCAAAAAGAAGAAAAATTTTGAAAAAAACATGCCCAGACAAAAGATTGCAAAATTGTCAGCGAAACAAAATCTTTCCAATCGGTAACAAAACCGAAAAAACCTGAGCAGAAACCCTTTATGCAGAAAAAAAAAATCAAAACAAAAATATTAAATTTAAGTTCCTCTTTGCCTCAGACCACACACGCACAGAGAAACTTTTTTGGTCATCAAACGCCGCAGTAAGTGACCACTAAGTCGATGTAAAATAAGCGGAAACCGATGAAGTCCAAAAAAAATGAAAAACAAATTTTAACAAACCGAGTTGGTAAAAACACTACCAACGTGAGAATCATATTATGAATCGTCCGGATTTCTAAAAAGCTAAAACACTAAAACCAACTACAAGAAAAACCCTTTACAGCGAAAATAAGCGAATCTTAGATGTGGCAACAAAGCCTACAAAATATAAGCAGACAATTATTGGGCCCGACTATTTTACTTGAAACAGAAAATGTCCCTTTTGAAAAAACAGGTCCTGGTCAAATTGGAACCCAGGACCTTTGCCGTCCCAGGCGTATTCATTACCTCCTGGCTAAGTGTGCAGGAGACACTAAAAAAATTGAATTCATCATGAAGCAAGGTACCACCAGGAGTCCGGATGAGTCCTGAGGACATAGTTATTTGTGGGAAAAAAAACCTAGAACCCGATTGCAATACCCTTGCTTAATGCAAAGGTAAAACAGGCTTTCAATTATGTAAAAAAAGTTCTCAAATCATCAGAAAAACCGTGCTGCGGCAAAATAAGCCAAATGACAGTCTGACAATTATTTTTTCAAGCTGCAAAAAAAAACAGTTCCAGACCGGATAGGATCCTGAACTTGCGTAGTTACAGACATCACGTTACATCCACGCCACACGTGCAGAATAACACGCTGAACTCGGATTGATTGCAAGTCAAGCTATAAAATGATTAACTGACTGTTAGACTAGTTGTTCACCTGGAAAACACTATGTTCCAATGTGAAAACGTAATAATCGCTAATCGCAAACGTAATAACCCCAATCAGCATCAACTGATATCAGCTAATGAGCAGAAAAAGGTGTTCGAAAAAATTAAAGATAGCAAACACTGATTTCAAGAAAAACTAGAAAGAAACAGACTACATCTTTTCTGGAGATGAGCCAAGACATAATTCAATTCAAAGCTCATCGGATACTTCTTCAATCGCCGGCTGATTTTTTTTGGGTACATATGCGCTAATTAAGTCGACTGATGTGGCTGCCTGAAGCCTTCGATGAGAAGAAAACGATTGTTCATTTGAAAGACCCTAAGGCTGTATGTAACATCAGATGAAGGGAAGAGAGAAAATTGCAAGCACACCTACTTCTATTCGACGAAATTACGTAGCTTGTTGGTTCAAACACCAACTATAGACAACACAAGGACACAAGAACAAAAATAACAATTATCTACAAGAAATATAGCCAAAAGACAGTTGGAGAAATGGCAAATAAAAATTCTTTGTCATTCATGCCGAAAAAAAAATGGCCAGCTGACATTTGTAAGAGAGTAATGAACGCACTTCTTTAAAAAACTGTCTGCTTTTGAATTTCGACGAAAAAAAATAATGGCCTTTTAGCTATTTGAAGTTGTACAACAACTTATTCTGGACACTGTTTTGTTAAAATTAACCCAATTTGAGAAAACAGGATCAATAGGTAAAACTTTTATATCGCTGGGAAATCTGATAATTAATTTCCATTTTCAAAATTAGAAGTCGATCACGTTTTTCGTGACCTTTACATTTTTGCTGTTCGATATTGGAGTTTGCCTACCTTTTAACAATGGAAATGCACTGAACATAAAAAATAAACACAAGTCAAACCTCGAAAAACCGAAATTGCGCGTCAACAAACTTTGAGACTTTTTCCTAAAAAACCAAAAACAAAAAAAATCAGCCAGACCTATATAAGAGTAATCACTACGTTCATTACTCTTAAAAACAAGATCCCACCTGGACTCCGACTCAAAACATAAGAGTACACAGGCGACCTTGTTACCTCCAAAAAGAAACT